TTTTCTTGCACAGACTAGATGTTGGTTTACCAATGTTTTTTTTCCAGACTAGATATTGGTTTACCAATGTTTTGTTGCACAGTCTAGATGTTGGTTTACCAATGTTTTGTTGCACAGTCTAGATGTTGGTTTACCAATGTGTTGTTGCACAGTCTAGTTGTTGGTTTACCAATGTTTTCTTGCACAGACTAGATGTTGGTTTACCAATGTTTTTTTTCCAGACTAGATATTGGTTTACCAATGTTTTGTTGCACAGTCTAGATGTTGGTTTACCAATGTTTTGTTTCACAGTCTAGATGTTGGTTTACCAATGTTTTCTTGGACAGACTAGATGTTGGTTTACCAATGTTTTGTTGCACAGACTAGATATTGGTTTACCAATGTTTTGTTGCACAGTCTAGATGTTGGTTTACCAATGTTTTGTTGCACAGTCTAGATGTTGGTTTACCAATGTTTTGTTGCACAGTCTAGATGTTGGTTTACCAATGTTTTGTTGCACAGTCTAGATGTTGGTTTACCAATGTTTTGATGCACAGTCTAGATGTTGGTTTACCAATGTTTTGTTGCACAGTCTAGATGTTGGTTTACCAATGTTTTGTTGCACAGTCTAGTTGTTGGTTTACCAATGTTTTTTTGCACAGTCTAGATGTTGGTTTACCAATGTTTTGTTGCACAGTCTAGATGTTGGTTTACCAATGTTTTGTTGCACAGTCTAGATGTTGGTTTACCAATGTTTTGTTGCACAGTCTAGATGTTGGTTTACCAATGTTTTGTTGATTTACCAATGTGTTGTTGCACAGTCTAGTTGTTGGTTTACCAATGTTTTCTTGCACAGACTAGATGTTGGTTTACCAATGTTTTTTTTCCAGACTAGATATTGGTTTACCAATGTTTTGTTGCACAGACTAGATATTGGTTTACCAATGTTTTGTTGCACAGACTAGATATTGGTTTACCAATGTTTTGTTGCACAGTCTAGATGTTGGTTTACCAATGTTTTGTTGCACAGTCTAGATATTGGTTTACCAATGTTTTGTTGCACAGTCTAGATGTTTTGTTTACCAATGTTTTCTTGGACAGACTAGATGTTGGTTTACCAATGTTTTCTTGCACAGACTAGATGTTGGTTTACCAATGTTTTCTTGCACAGACTAGATGTTGGTTTACCAATGTTTTCTTGCACAGACTAGATGAGGTCCTGGTGTAATTTATTCATTTGTTATAGGATACTAACAACTGTTTCAAAGTCATAAGTGTTGTTTGGCTGGCACAAAGAGATTAGTTTTAGCAGGTTAGTTAAAGTAGGTCATTTGATCCAATTGATTGCGGGTCAGTCAACACTGTGTTAATTTGAGTCATTGCTTGTGTGTCACAATGAAATGTGTTAGATTTGTTTTAGATGGGAGTGAAACAACAAAAAAAAACAGGTCTGATTTAAAGCCTGTTGTTCATGTGTGTGGTGGACAATTGTTGATTTTCAGTTAGAGGGAATGGATTTGACCATTTAGTCCTTGCTGTACAAATACATTTCATGTTGAAATCATCACAGAGCCATGTTTTCATTAGATAATGATAAGTGCATCTGTGTGAGGCCAGCACATGTCATTCTTGTATTGATGATTACAGCAAAGATTCCTGTGTAAACTAGAGCAGGTCCAAAGTTTAGTAAAACTGAGACTGGTGGTGTGGATCACTTGTGATCAGCTTTTTTTCTTTTACTTGTTGATGTTGTTGACTGTGGTCACCTACCAGAATTGAGTGTCATACTGTTCTAACTAAACATGTCTACTGTTAGGAGCTTGCGAAGGTAACCAATTATTAAACATTAAATTACACCCCCCCCTCCCCCCTTTTCCCCCACCCCAATCCAAATAAACTTATCATTGATAAAAAATAAAATTGGATTCTTCAAGGAAACACGATTATGTATTGAAATTTATACAGAAATCTAAGGCCATAAGAATTTAAAGCAAACGTATGCACAAACAAAATTAGGCTGCAGAATTTCATCAAGAAAATCACATGTCTTTCTCATGGAATGTCTATGGCAACAGAAATAGGGGCTGATCATTTAAATAGGGACTGATCATATAAATAGGGACTGATCATATAAATAGGGATTGATCATATAAATAGGGATTGATCATATAAATAGGGACTGATCATATAAATAGGGATTGATCATATAAATAGGGACTGATCATATAAATAGGGATTGATCATATAAATAAGGACTGATCATATAAATAGGGAATTATCACATAAATAGGGGCAAATAGGGGCTGATCATATAAATAGGAACTGATCATATAAATAGGGGCTGATTATATAAATAGGGGCTGATCATATAAATAGGGATTGATCATATAAATAGGGGCTGATCATATAAATAGGGACTGATCAAATAAATAGGAACTGATCATATAAATAGGAACTGATCATATAAATTGATCATATAAATGGGGACTGATCATATACCATCAGTTCCAATGATTGTAAAACTCAAGATAGTGAGAAGTTAGAGGAAGGATGTTGGGGGGGGGGGGTATTGACAAGCAAGGGCCAAGAGAAATGGGAAAAACATTCTGAAAAGCTGATTCTTTTGACCAGATGTAAGAACAACAAATAAAATAAAATAGAGTTGATAGTGTGATTGGGTTATTTAAGGTGGACTATTTTTTAAATTCAGCAGCAGTAAAATGGCATTTGGAGGTTTTGACAATCAGTATGTTAAATTTTGTTTGTTGTTTCCTTGCAGCAGGAGAATGGCTACAGGTGGTGAGGCCAGCGCCACAACCAATCGGAAGCGACCTCATGCTCATGATTTCTCTAGTGTGGACAGGGAGGTTGAACACATTATGGGAGATTCTAGAAGGTCAAAGCTACAAGCATCCAAGGTAAACGGCTGACCATTAAGAGGATTTCTGGGAATTGAAGTAATGTCACCATTAAAAGATCCAGGGGGAAAGGAAGATGTGGGGGGGGGGGCATATTGTCACTTGACTTAAGATTTTCAAGAAGCCCATATTTTAAAATAGCAACAACAAAAAATGATAACCTTTCGGAATCTAATTTTGCCACGCGTTACTTGCTTTGAATGGATTATATTTAAAACATGCAGCAAATCAAAATTAAATTTGTAAAAGAATTAATTTAGGTTAAAAATTGGCACCTACCGGTATAAATGTCATTTACCAGGTCATGTGTAATTTTTTACCATAATATATCATTATAACTTTCATTGGTTTGAAGACTGCATAATACGGTTTTATCCAAGTCGAAGTACCAATGACATCTATAAAATTAAACTAAAGCTGTGATACATGCACAAATTTATTTCATGGCCACTAACCCCAGTATTGTTATATTGATCTAACCAGTCTAATAGGGTAGTTAGGAATCTAAATATAGCAACATATAAATACATACTTCACACTTACCTTGTCAGTTAAGCATTGCTGGTGTAAACCTGCTAGTGGATTGATAGACAGATAAATATAGACCTTGTGTTCCTGGTATAAGACAGAAAGAGTATAGACCTTGTGTCCCTGGTATAAGACAGAAAGTGTATAGACCTTGTGTCCCTGGTATAAGACAGAAAGTGAATAGACCTTGTGTCCCTGGTATAAGACAAAAAGAGTATAGACCTTGTGTCCCTGGTATAAGACAAAAAGAGTATAGACCTTGTGTCCCTTGTATAAGACAGAAAGAGTATAGGACTTGTGCCAGGTTATGAAATGGAAGAGTATAAAACTCTTCTCTAAAATAAAATAGAAAAATATAGAAATGCTCCCTAGTATAAAATAGAAATGCTCCCTAGTATAAAATAGAAATGCTCCCTAGTATAAAATAGAAATGTATAGAGCTGGTCTCTGATCTGAATTAGTATACTTTCAGGTGTTTCAACCATCATTAAAACATTTGTTTTTGTCTATCAGTCGCCACTCTGTGAGATGAGACTGGACATAGATGGTTTTCTTTAAATTGTACGCGTCCCTTGTTGTGTGTGAATTGCATAGAGATGTATTGATTTGTACACTAAGCCTACTGCAGCTGGGGCTTAGATCCTTCAATATGATTTGTCAGCTGATTACAAAAGCAATAACAAGAAACTGCACAGTGCGATTTAACATTGTCAGCATGCAATGTATGTGTGTAACATTGAAATCTAGGTCAGTGTAGGTGTCTAAAAATGATCTCATAAAATCATTTCTATTTGTGCATTTTATGTTAAGACAAGAGGACCTGTAAGTTAACAGTGTATTTAAAACTTGAATTGTGGGGCTACGAGAGGTGACTGTCCCAAGTCTGACTGGCAACCAAGGGTTGGTGGAGTGGAATTTGCCTGGGGTTATCCAGAGCCATGGGCAAATAACTGGGTGAACTTGCCTGGGGTTATCCAGAGCCATGGGAAAATAACTGGGTGAACTTGCTCAGTGAAGCATCCATTCTTATGGACTAGGGCAACTACAAAAGTTGACTCAGTTAGCTTGGCATGTTATTTAAAATTTACCTGTCTGCACTGACTGCGAAATAAAGATGTGTGGAATGAGTGCAAAACTACACAATACGCCACTGTTGAACCTAGCAGATAGTCATCACAATATTTAGTTAATGGTCTGTTTTGTTTGTCCTCAGAACAAGATTGGTCCGGCACCCTTCAGTCATGAGCAGGAAGCCCTGGACATCAATGCTCAGATAGATTACACAGTTAGAATCAGCCTTGAGGATGCTAAAGCCGGCAATGGTAAAAGGGAAAACTTTGTATCTTTACACCAACAAAGTGAAAAAATGAAACTTTTAAATAAGGCTTTGTAATAGGCTCAGGTTGCTTTATGGAAGTGTTTAAATATAAATATTATTTTAGTCTTTCTTATAGATGTTGGCCTCCAAAGAAAATCTCATGAATATTTCTTCTTTCTCAGTGTCACGACCAGTAAGAATCTACGCTGATGGAATTTATGACATGTTTCACACAGGGCACGCACGACAGCTGATGCAGGCCAAAATGGCGTTTCCACATACTTATCTGATAGTTGGAAGTGAGTGGGAAAATGTTGATAATGACAGGCCATGGAGCTCGTGATATGCATATCTCATGGTTGACATTCTTTTCTAACCCGACACCAATTATAAAGGGTGGAATATTTCAAAAAGCTTTGTTAGGGAGCTGTAATTAAAATATAGTTGTAATGATCACAAACAATACTAAAACATGGTAGAAAATCACATACACTACTAAAATGGTAGAAAATCACATATAATACTAAAAGATGGTAGAAAATCACATACACTACTAAAATGGTAGAAAATCACATATAATACTAAAACAGGGTAGAAAATCGCAAACAATACTAAAACATGGTAGAAAATCACATACACTACTAAAATGGTAGAAAATCACATATAATACTAAAACAGGGTAGAAAATCACATGTAATACCAAAACAGGGTAGAAAATCACATAATACTATAACATGGTAGAAAAATCACATAAAGTACTAAAACAGGGTAGAAAATGAAATACTATACTAAAACAGGGTAGATAACACAGTTCTAAAACATGAAGCTAAGACAGTGTTTGCCTGATGAGAGTCCTTGTTAATAAACGGTGGTGAGACAGATGTAATTGTGCCTGACATCCCTCTGTTACAGTATGCAGTGATGATATGACATTCAAAAACAAAGGGAGGACAGTGATGAATGAGGTGGAGCGCTACGAGGCTGTGAGACACTGTCGTTATGTGGATGAGGTCGTTACCGATGCACCCTGGACTTTGGATATGACCTTCTTAGAGAAACATAAGGTAAGGGAGACCCCCCACTGTAACAGCAGATATTTTCGTTTTAGTTCAATTTAATTTGATCTTGGGCCCTGTGCATGTGTGCCAGGTCTCTTCTGTTGGTATCTAATGTTGACATGTGGTCCACCAATGAAATCAATGAGATTTTGGCTTTTATCCCTCACATTTAATTTCAATAAAATAGCCCACTCATGTATGCCATACATAAATAGAAAATTAACAATGGATCTGTCAATACTACTCTAGTTAAGCACCAAAATAAGAGATGCTGTTGTTGCAGATTGACTTTGTTGCTCATGATGAGCTGCCTTACACAACAGGCTCAGAGGATGATGTCTACAAATTTGTTAAAGAAAGAGGCATGTAAGTTTAAACAAAAATTAATTTCACTTAACACATTCTTGATCATGTCACCATGGACAGAACACAACATGTTTCTCTGGCACATTCAAAAGTCACTTCAGTTTCCACTGTAAAGCCATCGATTGCTAATAAGATCTATAAGACTCATTTTCTAAAATGATTTTAACCTTATAATGCTTACCTACTTATTAATCTACTCTATACTAGTAACGCTACAGATAGAATCTATATGGAGAACAAATTAATTACAAGATTTGGTATGTTGTTTCCATATGGAATGAACCAAATCCACAATTTTACCTAACTGCCATGTCTTTTTCCTGTTTGATTTTTACAATTATGTTAAAATCAGTTCCTTTCTACTCCTTTTTACTTTGTTTTTGTCTGGGTTTTTTTTCTGTTTTAGGCAGGATATGTATATTTATATTGTGTAAATTTAATTTATACTTATTTAAATGTGTTTTTTTTGTTTGTACTGATGAAGGCATGTGCCGAAATGTTTACTTGTGTATAATGTATAATTATTATTAAAGCGTAACTTATATTGTTCTATTGACACAATTTGTTGCTGTCTTATAAATCCTGTCTGCTTAGGAAGGCTCTTAGCCCAAATGTTCATCTGTTATTGTCCTGTCTTTCTTTTTAAAGCTTCCCCCACACCTTTTTCTTCTATTTCCTTCACACCACTTGAACGCACTCCTTCATTTATTATCCTTTATTGCCCCAAATCGACTGTAGAGCTCTTTCCCCCATGTTCCCTGCAGGTTCCTGGCAACACAAAGAACTGAAGGGATATCCACCACTGATGTCATTACTAGAATTATTAAAGATTATGACTTGTACATCAGAAGAAACCTGGCCAGAGGCTACTCACACAAGGATCTTAATGTCAGCTATATGAAGGTAAGTACCACCAATTTGCACTAGATTTGGGATGGGTTATGGTTGGGAATCTTTGGGGGAGCATTTAAAATAGTCAGGTCATTAATATAGTTTTGTATTTGTCATTCATCCCTGTGGTATTCAGATGTTATATCTATATGTAGTTTTTAAAGCCTTCGTATTAACTGCACCAGACCTGTTTACCCTCAAACTCTTAAAATCGTACAATATCATCACAAAATTGTTCAATACCTTATATATAGAGTAAAAAATATGCATACAGTATATACGTTTACACCTCAAAACCGTACATTGTACGCCAAACTCGTAAGAGTAAACATGTCTGCTGCACTTTTGTTCTTGTGATTTTTTTTCTGGGTTTGTGGCAAAATCTTTGGAAGGACCAGCTCCCATCAACTGAAACTTGGCACATAGACTTGTTGCTGATGACAACACATTCTTTAAAATTTTCAGCCCCACCCCCAACCCCCAAAAATCAGTTTTAAGGCTACCAGCTGCCACCGATTTCATGAAATAAAATTCCTGTTAATTGCACTAAATAAGATTTTAACTCTTTCGATGCAGAACAACGCACACTGCATTCTTCTGCCGTTCTCAAAAGCAGTGACCAACGCACTGTGTGTTGTTTTAATATCATGTTTGTTTCTTGGCTATTTCTCGGTTAAACTTTTTGAGAGCTATTTTTAAATAAGACTTTTACATAGATGAGTGGTATTTCATTGTTTGTAAGTCATTTGAAGTATTATTTTAACGATTTTCTTCCTTTTTTTTTCTACTGTTGATATGGCATTAGTAGGTGAATAAGTTTCCTAGACGATTAACAGGTCAAAAGCTTTGGAATAGTTTTATACTATTTCTTTTGATAGTGAAGATGATTTATATTTAGATCCATCGCATGATTCCGATAGTAGTAGTTTTAGAAGATTTGAGTTATAGAAGGGAAGATGAGGTATGCGTACATCATAGGGTTTGGGGAAAAAAGGGTTTAGCATAAAATGTTTTCACATTTTTTGGTTCTTTTCTGTAACTTATTTTATTTAAAGTGAAGAAATAAGTTTACAAACCTATAGTCCTTTCAATTATCTTTCATGTGATACCAAGTTCAGTCTTATAAACCAAAGAATAATATTTTAAATATTTGTTAATAAACCCAACCTCTCACCCTTTTTTGCTCTTTGAAAAAAATGTACAGTTTTTTGGATAAAACAATTCTTATAAAGTGGGTTACTTGTATGCATGTCTTGTCAAATTTGGAGCCCTTGCTCGATAGTACATTTTGTATAGGATTCATACCAACACTATATTTTTATGGATTGTTAAGTTTTACTGATAAAATAGCCACTTGTTCTTATCTATTTGACCTTGACAATGTTTCTACTTCCTGTTTGGAAATATTTGTTGAAATGAATAATAATAATAAAGTTTATTTGAAAATCACGCTTCATCTCCAAAGGCTCGAAGTGCGGTGCATAGTCTAATATATTAAAAGAGAAATGAAACAATCTATAATATACCACATTGAAATACAAAATGCAACATTACAAAACTATATACAAGAATACCCATTCTAAGTCTTTCATACCTAACAACCATAAACAACACAGGCCAATATATATCCACAAGATAATAGCTCTGTTGTTCGTCCGTCGAGGATCGACGATGACCATCGAGTCGTCTGGTGACTGATGACTTGCGCGGGTGACTTTTGTTTAAAGTGAGGAAGAGTTGCGCAGCGTCAACCTCACTCTCTCGTCCGAGCCCACCATATCCAGTGGCAAGACTCTACGTCAAGACGACCAGGGATGGGTACGGTTGCAGGAATTGACATTGTATGCGCCTTACGGGACTCCAACTCCGGGTTTGAATTCAGAGTTTCCTTCTCTTAGATGAGTTGCCGACCAAGGTTAACGAGTCTCATCCACCCGGGGTGATGTTTTTGCTTGACCGGCCTTTGGCTGAAATTGAGGTTTGCTCAGTTTAGACCATTCGGCCACCCAGTCACCCATGCAGTGAATGACCATGGCGTTCTACGTGTCTGGTCATGTTCTCAGCGATTCACACCACTGTGCTGTCTCCGCCTTTTGTCCGTTGACCAAGTAGTGGTTCTTCCGCACAATTTGCAGGATTCAGTCTTTACATGCTATGGGGGACAAACCTTTTTTTTCCCGAAAGTTCTATGCCCTTCGGCTACCCTCAAGCTGGAATCGTTGTCTGGGTTGTAGTCGGTGTGCATGTTACAGCTTCTTGGAACCACAGGTGAGAGCTGAGTACAGAGACTTCCGGCAGTTTCCGAACAAGATGGCTTCTTCCTATTCAGCCTAACAGTACATCTATATTGTAGTTGTAATTTAAAGGAGAAATACGTTGATAACAGCATAAATTCTGATCCTGAATGGAACCGCAAAACAATAAAAATTAATTAAAACTTCGAATTTTCTTGCGTTGAAGCCAATTTCCAATAATCATCTTTAACTATCCCTCTTGCTTTACTGAAGCGCCTACACACTGAGATTCCTTCCTATTGTGTTTTACTATACCGCCATTTTGTTGTAGCCGGAAGTTATCCTTTGTTTAGTGACAATGGAGATTTTGTTAACGAAATGTTGTTGAGAGAAAAATTACGTATCCGAAACAAAGATTCTGATCCTCTGCAGATTCTTAAGCATATATTCATAAGAAAGAACTATTTCATACAATTATTTTCTTGTAAAATCCATGTTTCCTTCCTTTTGTGTTCTTTTGAATTTTTTCTCCACCAACTTGTTGCAGCCGGAAGTTTTATGTTGCGTGTAAGATAATAGCTAGATAGACAACATCCCCCCAGCAGGTATTTGCGAAAAAGATATGTCTTCAAATCAGTTTTGAAAGACTTCAGTGACTGGCTGTTTCTGAGAGCGACAGGAAGGGTGTCCAAATTGTTGGTCCAGCAAATGCGAAAGTGCGCCTTCCGTAAGTCTCAAGGTGACCATGTGGTATCGAGAGTTTGCCACTATCAGATGAACGGAGTTGTCTAGTGGATACATAAGGCGTCAGCAGCGCTTTGAGATAGGTCGGTGCCAGGTCATGCAAGCAGCGGTAGCACAGAGTTGCAATTGTGTACTCTATGCGAGCGCGGACCGGCAGCCAATGCAACTCTCTCAGAAGTGTTTTAGCACAGAGTTGCCATTGTGTACTCTATGCGAGCGCAGACCGGCAGCCAATGCAACTCTCTCAGAAGTGTTTTAGCACAGAGTTGCCATTGTGTACTCTATGCGAGCGCTGGCCGGCAGCCAATGCAACTCTCTCAGAAGTGTTTTAGCACAGAGTTGCCATTGTGTACTCTATGCGAGCGCTGGCCGGCAGCCAATGCAACTCTCTCAGAAGTGTTTTAGCACAGAGTTGCCATTGTGTACTCTATGCGAGCGCTGGCCGGCAGCCAATGCAACTCTCTCAGACGTGTTTTAGCTTGGTGTTGATTGTTTTTTAGTCCTAACTTAAAATTGGCCATGACTTCCAGATTTAGTTCCAAAGTTCTCTCACCACAATCTGAATGTGCTGCCTTATTTTACTGTCCTTGTTCCATGTTTTGATTGACAAGGTTTAGTAATGCATTTAGGAGGACTGACCTACTTACTTCTGTGGTTTTAATGATCAAGTTTTGTCTTAAGTTTACAATGACTGACTTGCATTTTTGTGTCTGACACTGATAGGCCAAACGTCTTAAGCTGAAAGACAACTATGAAAAACTTGAGAACAAGTTGAAGGATAAAGGCAAAGATTTGATGGACAAATGGAAAGATCAGCTTGGCAAAGGAAATGAGATGCTCCACAAATGGGAGGAAAAATCCAAGGAATTTATTGGCAACTTTGTAGAAATGTTTGGCAGAGAAGGGAGATTGGTAAGTCAACAATGTACATGACTGTAGTATTTGAGTGATGACAAGGAATCTTTGTGAATTTTTAACATGGTTCGTATCAATTTACATTAGTATAATGTCAAACTCCAGTTGGTGTAAAAGTATAAACATTATATCCTTAGGAACAAATACAGGAACAAAGAGAGGTTTATTTTTTAATGAGGGATCAAAAACTGTAGGGATTAAATGTCTTTTAGGCTGTGGCTATATTACCTTCATCACATGACCTTCAGTTTGTCTCTGTCTATAGCTACATTACCTTCATCACATGATCTACAGTTTGTTGTTGTCTTTAGCTACATTACCTTCAACACATTACCTTCATCACATGACCTACACCCACCTAGTAGAGCCAAACTATTTAAACTTGTTTATCCATAGGGCCAGTGGTTCCAAGAGAATTCTCTGAGAATTGGTCGTGCCATCTCACCTTCATCATCACCTCTGCCAGACTCGCCACCTTCACCTTCGACCTCTGACCACGACTCTGCGGCAAGCCCTCCGGCCAAACGGGGCAGGTACACCCCTCCTGTCATAGATGACTTATCCGATGAGGAAGAGGACAATGACTGATCCACCACAGGTCAACCGGCGAGGGGTCAGACGGACAGTTTGATCGGACCAGCACAGCCTGGGACAAACAATGCATTCTTGTTGTTGTCTTTGTTGTGGAGGACCTCATCGCTGTTGTCAGCTTACAAGTTCATTTTAAATTTGTTTTGGTGTTATGTCAGATTTAGCAGAAGCTTTGAATTTTGTTATTGAATCAAGAATTGGGTTACATCACTTGTGTTTAATCATGGAGAAACTCTGGACTAACATTTAATATTATTTTCTACATCTCTTATTGGCCTAATGTGTGGGTTTTTTAAAAATGTTTACTCCTTGTTTCCCTCTTCATGACATCATAGACATGTCTCAGTCAGACATTTTGGTTCAGTCTGCCCATGACAAAACTTTCATGAAGTTGTCTTAGCTGTTGACAATAAAATAAATTCATATTTATTTTGATGTGAATTGCATTTGAATACGTAATGGTGAAAGTTTTTCTCTCTCGAGTTTCACCAGTTAAAAAAAAAATCATGGTGCTTTGCATTTGTTTTTCTTAGCTTAGTTTTCCCATTGGTTAGTAGATGTTGCACTGTAGGCCATCTTGGCGTCCATGCTTTGCTCTCATTTGTAGCTCTTACTTTTTGAAGCTCATCATTACAGATCAGATCAGTTTTAATTTAAGTTTGCTTCTACTCTTGGGTCAGTTCATTCTAAAAAAAAACATTGATTAGTTTCACTCTTTGCTTCTATTGAAAGTAACATATTGATGACTAGTTACCTTGTTTGTTTTTTCAGAGTGAAAGTAGAACATTGTACTGTCTTGCTTCACCACTCTGATCTATGTTAGTTGCATTCCAATATTTATTTTACTGCTTTTGTTTACAATTGGAAATTAATTCTGAAAACTGCTTTCCGGTCAAAGCTATATTAAAAAAAAATCCAAGAAAAGGCATTAGTCATCATTAGTGTGACATTGTTTTAATGTATAGCTTGCCAAGGCCGACCACTATCAGGGTCCACCTTGGAGGATAACCTGGCTGCCCTTCAAGGAGGCTAGTTTTGTCTTCCAATAAGTTGCTACAATTGCAGCTGTCTGTCTCCTTGCTTGCTGTGTTTCTTGTTGATAAACTTATAAATTTTATTGATTGACATTAGGAGATGACATCAGAAGCCATCATTTATTATTACCTTGTGAATCTACCAAAGTGTTCAAACACACTGCTGCACATCTAGATCTACCACAGTGTTCAAACACACTGCTACACATCTTAGATCTACCACAGTGTTCAAACACACTGCTACACATCTAGATCTGCCAAGTGTTCAAGCACACTGCTACACATCTAGATATAACACAGTGTTCAAGCACACTGATATAACACAGTGTTCAAGCACACTGCTACACATCTAGATCTAACACAGTGTTCAAGCACACTGCTACACATCTAGATCTAACACAGTGTTCAAGCATACTGCTACACATCTAGATATAACACAGTGTTCAAGCACAATGCTACATATCTAGATATAACCTGTTCAATCACACTGCTACACATCTAGATATAACACAGTATTCAAGCACACTGCTACACATCTAGATCTAACACAGTGTTCAAGCACACTGCTACACATCTAGATATAACACCGTGTTCAAGCACACTGCTACACATCTAGATATAACACAGCGTTCAAGCACATTGCTACACATCTAGATATAACACAGTGTTCAAGCTCACTGCTACACATCTAGATCTAACACAGTGTTCAAGCACACTGCTACACATCTAGATATAACACTGTGTTCAAGCACACTGCTACACATCTAGATCTAAAACAGTGTTCAAGCACACTGCTACACATCTAGCAATGAGAGACTTTTAATAAGAATAAACCTATCGGTCCTTACTGTTTCTAGATAATTTGAAGATTTGTTGAAATGTTGAGTACCGGTAATAGTTAACATTTACAAACAAGTTATTGTTATAGTTAACATCTATCCATGACTTGATATCATTAAATTGCTACTCGTGTCATTAAAATGCAGTACCTGGGGTATTAGGGATTGTAATATGGACTTTTAGTACCTGGGATGTTAGGTTGTATATGAGGTGTTAGTACCTGGGGTGTTAGGTTGTCTATGAGGTGTTAGTACCTGGGGTGTTAGGTTGTATATGAGGTGTTAGTACCTGGGGTGTTAGGTTGTCTATGAGGTGTTAGTACCTGGGGTGTTAGGTTGTATATGGAGTGTTAGAGGTTGTAATATGGGGTGTTAATACCTGGTGTGTTAGCTTGTAATATGGGGTGTTATCACCTGGGGGGTAAGGTTGTAATATGGGGTGTTATCACCTGGGGTGTTAGGCTTTATATGTCTTGTTAAGCTGCTGTGTCAAGGATGTTATTTTGCTTTGGGGTGGGGGGACTAGGCTGGGGTGGAGGGACTAGGCTGGAGTCTATTACCAATTTAAATGGGAATAAAGTTAAAATAAAACTAGAAAAGTATAGATGTCTTGATGCAACCATTACACAGTTGTCATGTTTGGGTGGTCCATGATATGAGATAAAGGATTCTCTAAGATAACAAGTTTGGCAGTGAATCCATCCATGAACTAAGTATTGAAATACATGAACACTAATGACAGCCTGCCATGCACCCCCATCTTGTATCCATCCTAAACAAATGGAGTGTGAATGTAGCCACCCACTCAGATTATGTTTTTATATGATGATATACCAGTGATGTATTAATTGTATAGTTACCATCTTGATTTACATCATAGGGGATACTAGATAAATCTGTTACAGAAATATATTATGTTTTTCTTTCTTTCTTTTTTTTTCTGTGTTTATTTAATATTTTTTTTTTTAGCTCTAGACCGTAGTGATGCAGCAGAAGGTGAGTGAGACCTAAACTAGAACAGCATTTTCAGCCAGTGAACCTTGAGAATGAATTTCTATGGATAGATTGGTGCAGAGTACTACTAAGACATGTAGAGATGCTTACGTTTGCTTGCCTTTATCTCTTGGTTCTGCCCTCAGTTACTTGGGTCATCAGCTGAAGCTGTGCTGGGTTCATTCTGCCCTCAGTTACTATGGTCATCAGCTGAAGCTGTGCTGGGTTCATTCTGCCCTCAGTTACTATGGTCATCAGCTGAAGCTGTGCTGGGTTCATTCTGCCCTCAGTTACTTGGGTCATCAGCTGAAGCTGTGCTGGGTTCATTCTGCCCTCAGTTACTTGGGTCATCAGCTGAAGCTGTGCTGGGTTCATTCTGCCCTCAGTTACTTGGGTCACCAGCTGAAGCTGTGCTGGGTTCATTCTGCCCTCAGTTACTATGGTCACCAGCTGAAGCTGTGCTGGGTTCATTTCTCTTGTTTCTATTTATTGTGAAGTTTAACATTCTATTTCGTTCGGTATAAAAATAATTTTAAAAGTAAATCAATTGCCGATGTTGGTTTACGTATTGCTGGGCGCCTGCTAAAGATGAACTTAATAAAACGTCAATGTTGGATTCATTCCGGGCTTAGCTTAAAATCCAAATTGTAAGTGGAGTCAGCAAGATTTACCTATGAATTTCAAGTATTATTAAAACTGTTATAACCAATGGTGTACCTTGTGAGAAGAGGGTGAGACACCAACATTGTCATGAAATGAAAGGATTTTTGGTATATTATCAACATTGTCAATTACAAAAGGATTTTTGTTATATTTTCAACATTGTCAATAACAAAGGATTATTGGTATATTATCAACATTGTCAATTACAAAAGGATTATTGGTATATTATCAACATTGTCAATTACAAAAGGATTATTGGTATATTATCAACACAGTCAATAACAAATGGATTTTTGTTATATTATCAACATTGTCAATTACAAAAGGATTTGTGGTATATTATCAACATTGTCAATAAAAAAAAGGATTTTTGTTATATTATCGACATTGTCAATAACAAAGGATTTTTGGTATATTATCAACATTGTCAATAACAAAAGGATTTTTGGTATATTATCAACATTGTCAATTACAAAAGGATTATTGGTATATTATCCACACAGTCAATAACAAAAGGATTTTTGTTATATTATCGACATTGTCAATAACAAAGGATTTTTGGTATATTATCAACATTGTCAATAACAAAAGGATTTTTGGTATATTATCAACATTGTCAATAACAAAAGGATTTTTTGTATATTATCAACATTGTCAATAAGAAAAGGATTTTTGGTATAGTATCAATATTGTCAATAACAAAAGGATTTTTGTTATATTATCAACATTGTCAATTAGAAAAGGATTTTTGGTATATTATCAAAATTTCCACAATTTTCGCTTGTTTTGGACAACCACAGAAAAGTTTTCCTTTAAAAATGACTATTCCATTGTGTGGACTGTTCCAACTATCTGTGATAATTCTCACATGGTTCAATTGATTCAATTTGTTTATGCACACAAATTAAAAAAAGGCAGAATGCATTTGAAAATTATTAAAATTTCATAAAATAAAAATAAATATTTGTTTAGTAAAAAAAATATTGTTTCAGAATTATTATTTTTGGTATTATGTAAATATGGTTGACTTGTGGTGTTCAGTCATGTAAATATGGTTGACTTGTGATGATCAATCATGTAAATATGGTTGACTTGTGATGTTCAGTCGTGAAAATATGGTTGACTTGTGATGTTCAGTCATGAAAATATGGTTGACTTGTGATGTGGAAGCAAAAATTTTCATCAGCAGTGGCATAGCTAGGGTTACGGATCGCGCCGGCTGACACCATCTCAGGGGTGACACAATCTCAGGGGTGACACCATCTTGAAAAATTGCATATTTACAGAGCACACACTGCTCGGTCTAAGAAAATTTCATTTAAGGATAACCGATCACATGTAAATTTTCCACACATTATGCAACCAGTCTAACTGCGTGCATTAAAGTTTAATGAAAGTTTAAGGTTGATGCGTCCGAAAAGAGGTGACCCTACAACTAGATCAGAGAAACACCGTTTCGACCATCATTCAACGCTGATGGAAGTGGTCGGTATCTTTCGTAAGTGGCTGGACGCTATATTTATCTAAATTCTGAGTTAATAAAACTTTCCATTGATACCAATGTGCGAATTTACGCTTGTTACAGTTCTTAAATACATTTAACTCGTGGTCTTCAATTAATTTGTTTTTGTTCTTGTCTTGTAATGTGGATTTTTCTTAACAGGAAGCAAGACGCGGAGGAAGGGGGGTGGGTAAGGGGTGATACCATGATTTTACCGCACCGGGTGACACCAACCCTAGCTACGTCATCAGCATTTTATTTATTATTGTTATTATGTCTTATTAACTATTATATTATATTAACACGCCTAGCAACTATTAGAACGCCTAGCAACTATTAGCACGCCTAGCAACTATAAGAACGCCTAGTAACTATTAGCACGCCTAGTAACTATTAGAACACCTAGCAACTATTAGCACGCCTAGCAACTATTAGCACTCTAGCTAGCAACTATTAGCATGCCTAGCAACTATTAGCACGCCTAGCAACTAATAGCACGCCTAGTAACTATTAGAACACCTAGCAACTATTAGCACGCCTAGTAACTATTAGAACACCTAGCAACTATTAGCACGCCTAGCAACTATTAGCACGCTAGCTAGCAACTATTAGCACGCCTAGCAACTATTAGCACGCCTAGCAACTAATAGCACGCCTAGCAACTATTAGCACGCCTAGTAACTATTAGAACACCTAGCAACTATTAGCACGCCTAGCAACTATTAGCACGCTAGCTAGCAACTATTAGCACGCCTAGCAACTATAAGCACG